AAATAGCTATCATGCAGCCAGGGTTCAATAAAATAATGCTTATAAAACTGCTGTGAAAGCAATGGAAAGCCCTGCAGAAGTTTAATTCTAATCACATCTGGGTTACACAATAGATAGGCATAATGAAGTTGAAACCCCCAGGAAGATTCTGGGCAGTCTGGCTACCATTATGCATTAATCTCTAAGACACACTGGAAAAAAAATGGCAAAGAACTCAGATAAGCCCCTACTCTCTGTCTTTCCAATGCATTTCAACAAGATTCTGCTATTGGTGGGAAGTGGAAAAAATAACAGCAGAGCTACACTGCAGCATTAGTCACAATAGCCAAGAGGGAGGAGCAGCCTAAATATTCATTAATAGATGAAAGGATAAAGAAATGGTAGGAATGTACATACAAGGGAATATTATTCAGCCTAAAGCAGAAGGAGATCTTGTCATGTGCTACAACTCAGATGAACTTTGAGGACATGACACTAACTGAGATAAGCCAGCCACAAAAAGACGCTCACTGCATGATTATACTTATAGGGATTATTTAAAACAGTCAATCTCTTAGAAACAAAGTACAATGGTAGCTGCCAGGCGCTGGGGAGGAGGGAAAGGGGAAGTTGTTGTTCAACGCGCAGAGTTTCAATCACAATTAAAAAGCTCTAGAGATCTGTTGCATAAGAATGCACATATAGTTAATGCTAATATACGGTACATTTAAAATGATAAAACTGTTTTGTTTTTTTGTTTGTTTGTTTGTTTTTTAATAAAATAACAGCCCTGAACCTGACATTTCACAAATAATCTGGAAGTTTAAACATTGTTTACACATCAGGCCATGACACAGAAAGCCTAAGTGAAACTCTGAAACAAGAGAACACAGAGTTCAGAACAAACTCAGCACAATACGAGCAGAAAGGTGATCCGGAAGCTGACACACAGCAAGGTTTTGCAAGTGAAAAAAAAAGTGAACAAAATTAGTTTCCTAAAACCTACTGAATGCCAAAAGTTCATGGGTAGCTTTTTAGGTTGTGACCTCACTTTGAACTAATGCTGACATCTATGAAATAACTTTTCTTAACTAGCGATAATAATGAAGAGAGCTATCATTAGGGGGTCACTAATTTTATGCCAATTTTATGTATTATTTCATTGACTCCTCTTAGCAACTTTAGATGGCAAGTGTCCTGATTGTGTGCTGATGTATAACAAACCATCTCCAGACTTACTGGCCTCATATAACAACAATATCATTTTATTTTTCTCATGAAACTACAATTTGGGCAGGGTTGGGTAGGTATGGTTCGTCTATGCTCCATGCAGAGTCAGCCAGGGCAACTCAACTGGGGCTTGCTGGGGGATCCACTCGGAAGATGGTCACTCATATGGCTGGAAAGTGGAGGCTAACTATTGGCTGGGAACTCAACTGGACCTGTGGGCCAGAAGCCTCAATTCTCCCCACTTGGTCCCCTCCGTGGACTGCTTGGGCTTCCTCACAGCATGGTGGCTAGGTTCCAAGAGCTACACTGCAGAGCAAGATGGAGGTGAATAAACCTTTTTATGATTTAACCTTGAAAGCCATGTAGTACCACTTCTGCTATGCTCTATTGGTCAAAGCTGTCGCAGCATTCCACTCAAGATCAAATGGAAGGGACACAAGCCCTATTGCTAGATGGCAGGAGTTTTTTGGGGCTATTGTAAGATCATGTATGATAAAATATACTGGTATGACCATTTTGGAAAATAACATCTACCACAGTAAATATTATCAATATAATTCTCATTTTGCAAATAGGAAAACTATTGGATACAATGAGTTCTAAATTTCTCTTCAAAGAATCACTATGTCATTACGTTCAGTTATTTTTCCTTCATTTTAAAGTCTAACTTCCTTGTAGTTCCAGTAAGCAACCTTCTCCGGTTCTAATCAGTAGTTTACATCAGTTCTGCCTGGCCCCCAGCTCCGTCCTGACTCATCCTGGTCACCCGCTTCAGTCACCTGATCCAGTCACATGCTCTGGTCACCTTCTTTGACCTAGGTCACCCCTGGCTACCTGCTCGGATCTGCCTGCCTGTAACCGTTCTTCCTGCCAAACCACCCACCCTGCCACTCCAGCTCGGATCCCTACTCTCTATAAAATAGCCAATCAGGATTAGTCTAGCTTGTGCGGTCTAACCCTAGCCAATAGGGAAACGACACAGCAGTAGGGGCGACTCCCGTCAGGCATAAGTATCCCTTTTCCTCACTTGTCCAAATGTGCAGTTACCATTGCTCCATCTGTGAGCCACACCCTTCTATAGAAGTAAACTGCCTTGCTGAGAGGATTTAATCTTTGAGTGCTATTTCTTTTGTGGCATCAAAATTTTACGTATAACAAACTGAATCTTGAAAAGATAATTACCCCCCTTCTTCCCCCAAAGTCACACAGCTATTAAGTAATGGAGCCAGGATTCAAAACCAGATATATCTGACTCCCAAGTCAGAAGCCTTAACTACTATGACTATTTTACTTCCAACTTCCTCTACAATTCCTGCTGTAATTACTCTAGCTCAGATAGTCTCTACCTTCCTTGCATAGGAAGGATTATTTTATGTAATTGACATAAAAATAAATGAACTCCCCAGTACTACTGCAGTCTGGTGACTGACACATAGAAAGCTCCCTAAAGTTCTGCTAAATTAGATGTATCTTCTCTCCTCTACTAAAGTATGATGTCCTTGAAAGAAAAAAAAAGTTTAGTAAAACCTGGTATCCACATAAAATTGGATTCAGTTCCTTGATCACAGCAAGGGTTCAGTAAATGCTTATTTGAAAAGTATCTACTTGTCTTCATGTCTTTCTCTCCATCCCTCCCCACAACCCCAGACTGTGAGTCACTAACAAGCAGGGACAAAGGCCAGGTGCAGTGGCTCATGCCTGTAATCCCAGCACTTTGGGAGGTTGAGGCGGGCAGATCACAAGGTCAGGAGTTCGAGACCAGCCTGGACAATATGGTGAAATCCGTTTCTACTAAAAATACAGAAATGAGCCAGGCATGCTGGCATGTGCCTATAGTCTCAGCTACTTAGGCTGAGGCAGAAGAATCGCTTGAACCCGGGAGGCAGAGATTGCAGTGAGCCAAGATTACGCCACTGCACTCCAGCCTGGTGACAGAGTGAGACTCCATCTCAAAAAAAAAGCAGGGACAGAGGGCTGGATGCCTGGGTTCCAGTAACCTTATTGCTCCAGTCCCTCCCACCCCTCAACACACACACAACCCTATACAGTGGGGCTTCTACAAACGTTACAATGAACAAATGAATGAGTGCATGACATACATGGATGAAAATGAAATGAACAGTGATCCAGGTTTATAATCACTTTCTTCATTCAAACAAGTGAAAATTAATACAACTAAAAAAAACTAAGTTCCATCATTGAGCCTGCTGGCCTACCCCTAAAGGAAGGCAACATGACACCTTTCAGTAGAGAAACAAAAAACAATGAGTTTCCTGTTGGAGAAAAAAAAATTGCAAAGGGAAGAAGACATGAGTGGAAAGAGTTTTTAGCTAACTAATGAAAAGGATGCAATTCATGAGCTATCTGCTGTGACACTTTTTGTCACCCTCTCTCTGTGGATCCTGGGGTCAGCGCAGAAGGCATAGAATAGAGGAGGAGGAGGAGAATTAATGTTTACTGCATGCCAGGCACTCTGCTAAGTAAGAGCTTGGCTTTTACTTCCACTTACATATTTTCATAATAAAACCCAAAACAGCTAGAACAGGAAGTAGGAACAAGAAGTAGTATAACATTTTCCTGGCTCTCAGAAAGCCATTTTAAGAAATAATTATGGAGATGTAGCAACTAATTCTACCTTACTAATATTCTAGATGGGAAGTCCCACAGATACTAATACTGGATTGTTAGTGGACGAATTCAAGGAGCAATATTATTGCCTGTCCACATCTTGCAAATAAATAAAGTTCCCTTTCTTTCATTTACCGCTAGCCATTGGTTTCTTCTGGTTTTTCAACATCCTACGACACTTTATTTTAGAAAGAAATCACTGTAGCAAGCTATTATGCTCTTTCTTTTCCAGGAACAAGTGGGTATAATAAATTGTAGCAGTGATGAAAGTGGAAAGTGACAGTGGAGAAAAATTAATATCTTTGTGCTTTTCATCCTCAAAATTCTTTAAATAAAATTTAATTTTCCGTCTATTGCCCTTTAAGCACATTAAGTTAGAGAGAGAAAATGTATTCAGCTTTTCCAATTTCTCTGTTGTATTAGAGGGTCTCTTTTCATTCATATAGTCTACAGAAATGGCATTTCTTGGTGTGTGGGGCCAAGGAAGAAGGGAGAACCTCAGAAGTATATTGGCATGTTGAGAAAACTAATATTCCTATGACTAATGAGCA